TTCTTTAGGTCCTTACTCATTATGAAGGCTCCTGTGCCACTTAAAACTTGCATTAAATAGGGCACCCGGGTGGCTCAGTCAGTTAAGCATCTGACTTTTGGTTCAGGTCATGACCTAGCCAAGTGAGTTCAAGCCCCATGTCAGGCTCTGTGCTGACAGCTCAGAGCCTGGAGCCTGTTTCAGAATCTGTGTCTTCCTCTCTCTCTCTGTGCCATTCCCCCACTCATGCTGTCTCTCTCTTTCTCTCTCAAACATACAATAAACATTAAAAAAAACTTAAAACACTTGCATTAAATAAATTTGCATGCTTTCTCCTGTTAATCTGTCTTTCTAAGTTTACTTTTTACATCCAGCCAAAGACCCTAAAAAGGTCAAAGAAAAATTTTTCCTCCCCTACACTATGGTGTTAAACAAAAGTTTCTACTACATAGTATCTTTGTCTCATGGGAATATAACATACAGCATGGTGACTGTAATTAATAATAATACTGTACTGCATATTTGAAAACTGCTGAGAGAGATCTTAAAAGTTCTCATGGAGGGGTGCCTGGGTAGCACAATCAGGCATCCAACTTCGGCTTAGGTCACGAACTCACAGTCTGTGGGTTGGAGCCCCTCTTTGGGCTCTATGCTGATAGCTCAGAGCCTGGAGCCTGCTTTGGATTCTGTGTCTCCCTCTCTTTCTGCCCCATCCTGCTTGTGCACTCTCTCTCTCTCTCTCTTTCTCCCTCTCCCTCCCTCTCTCTCTCTCAGAAATAATAAATGAATAAACTTAAAAAAAATTCTAAAAAAAATTTCTCATTGTAAGAAAAAAATTTGTTAACTACATATGGTAATGAATGTTAATTAATTAGATTTATTGTGGTGGACATTTAGCAATATATACATATAATGAATCATGTTGTACACCTGAAATGAATATAATGTTACATGTCCATTATACTTCAATACAAAAAAAACTTTGTCAACAAAGAAATATCCAGAAAAGTTTACTGAATGCTTATTAATAATCTATGTTTATATGAAGGTGTGTTTTACTGCCAAGAATAAGCAGTTTTATTGACCTAATGAGAATTTCATTGCTAAAGGGGAATTTAGCTTATACTTGTGTGTTTATGGGATAGCAAAAATAAAAGATTCCAAAAATGAATATGAAATTTCTTGCTGCAGGGATTCTAAGATTTCAACTGATAATGAGTTAAGACGACACTTAAGAACAATAGGGAATTCAATCTGCTCTTTCCAATATGGTAGCCACTGGACACATAGCCATTTTAACCTTAAAATTCAAGTTAAATCAAATCAAATTAAAATTCTCTTTTATCAGTCACACTATGCACATTTTAAAAGTTCAACAGCCACATGTGGCTAGTGGATACTATACTCAGTAAAAGAAGATTGAGAACATTTCTATTAGTGCAGAAAGTTCGATGGGGCAATGTTGGTTCAATGTTTGAAACTATTGCTCTGGTTCACCATATTATAACTACTATATGCTTTTATTTATACAATACGATAGTACCCCAAAACTTGGAAGATAGGGCCTAAAAATCCCAGAAATCATAATGGATTTGGGACTATAACTGGGCATGAAATGTTTACTACCAAATATATGCAACTTAAAAGAACGTATTTATTTGAAATGTTGTCATGCGTGCAGCACACTTGAAGCATAAGACAATTTACAAGACAGAATGTGTTCTTTTTATTGCTTATTTATTGTTCTTTTTATTGCTTATTTATTGGTTATTTATTGTTCTTTTTATTGCTTATTTATTTTGAGAGAGAGAGCACTAGCGTGTGTACACGAGATAGGGAGGGGCAAAGAGAGGGAGAGAAAGAATCCCAAGCAGGCTCCACATTCAGCACTGAGTCCAAAGCGGGGCTTGATCTCACCATCCAGAGATTATGACCTGAGTCAAAATCGAGAGTCAGATGTTCAACCGAATGAGCCATTCAGGCACCCCCAGAGTAAAGGTTAACGAAGGTAAAACAACATCCAAGGTTCTTCTGTAGTGCTAACCAAAGATCATGTTGCAGACAGATGGTCAGAAATTCTAAAACATATCAGAAGAGAAAATGAATTCAGAAAAGGAAGATTAGAGGCACCTGGGTGACTCAGTTAGTTAAGGCTCTGACTCTTAGTTTCGGCTCACTTCATGATCTCAGTTAGTGAGTTTGAGCCCCACATTGGGCTCTGTGCTGGTAGCGCGGAGCCTGCTTGGGATTTTCTCTCTCTGCCCCTCCCCTACTCACGCTATCTCTGACTCTCACAAAATTAATAAATTTTTAAAACTATTTTAAAAATAAATTTTATAAACTATTTTATATTTAATAAATTTTAAAAACTATTAAAAAAAACGAAGATCAGATGCTTTAGGAAAAAGGTTACATCTTAAGTAAAAACCTCTTGTTGACAGAGGCTACGAAGAAAGCAGTTTAGACCTTAGATTAAATTCAGGGGGCCTCAAGCCAATACAAAAATGGACCCTAATTTAGCAGACTAAAACTGCTGATTGTTAAGAAAGGAAAGGGACCAAGGGGCGCCTGGGTGGCGCAGTCGGTTAAGCGTCCGACTTCAGCCAGGTCACGATCTCGCGGTCCGGGAGTTCGAGCCCCGCGTCAGGCTCTGGGCTGATGGCTCAGAGCCTGGAGCCTGTTTCTGATTCTGTGTCTCCCTCTCTCTCTGCCCCTTCCCCGTTCATGCTCTGTCTCTCTCTGTCCCAAAAATAAATAAACGTTGAAAAAAAAATTAAAAAATAAAATAAAATAAAATAAAATAAAATAAAATAAAAAAAGAAAGGAAAAGGACCTTAATCATTGAGGGCACAGGAGTAAAATACCATATGAAAGAAATAAATGAATACTAACAACCAAAGAGATCCTCCCTTACACAATACTACTAGGAAGTAAACCAAAGGAAGAAAGTCTGGTCAGGTTTGAAAAGGAAGTGATCAACTTGGGGAATGTTCATAAGAATTTTAATGTAATGGTAAGCAAGAGCCACTTTATAAACCAGACTTAACCTGGGACACATAAAAAATATTCTAATCAAATGCAGAAAGAGAAGCCAACCAAGAAAAGTCATAATAATAATACAAACAAAAGAATAAGACTAACAAAAGAAATTAAAGCTACTTACCACTGGGTTGAAGTTCTCTCCCTGATGTTTCTTAATTGAGCCAACATTCTATGGAAACGAAAAGAAAGAAACAAAATTAACAATAAAAATAGATCTTTATGATTTTACGGATCATCTCTTCTAATTTATTTGCCTCAAAATGTAAGTTAAAATTATCAAAAATTCACCAGTGTAAACAAACAAATTTGCTATCTTCTAAATACAAAAGTAGCTTCTTAACCACTGGTTTTTAATACATTTGTCAACTATGGCGAGCCCTTACGTATATCAAATACCAAATGCCTATCTACCATTAAAATCCCACTTATTTGAACCTACTGAGAAATAATAATTTTTTTCTAAGCAAAACAAATTCTAATTACCAATTATATTTAAATTTAGTAGTTTTTGATTGTTTTGGGAGGCATACAATGCTAAATGCTGATCAGATTCTATTCCTTCCTTTCTAGAAATTTTACTTTATTCATGGTGGTAATGGACCCAGCTAAATATCCACAACTGAGCCTTCCAAAAAGGGTGCACAGGGGTTAGATGACATAGTTGAGATCAGTGACATATGAAGTCTGCTTTGGGGATGGAATGAGGTTGGTTATGGGCAGACATTTGTTTTCCTTATCCTGGGACAGATGTAAACATGTCTACTGCTGCCAACCATAATCCTATGACCATAAGTTAACAAGTGTGAGTATGAGAAACCAGCTAATAAGCCTGACAAAGTAGAAAGACAAAACAAGCTGCACCAATGCTAACCAATGCCTACTTTTGAATGTCTTGATATGTAAGAAAACTAAATCCCCCACTTTCTTAAGCCATTGTGAAGTTTTCTGCATGTACAGCCAATACATTACAAAGTGAAACAGCCTGAACTTGAAACAGTAACATTAACAAAAATACATCATAACCTTTCTATTAAAAAATTGGTAATATTCATAAATTTATGTTCCAAATTTTAGAGTCACCCTAAATTTATTGGGCTATTTTCCCCCATGCTAAATGGTTTAGTACTACTTAGTTGTTTAAACTTCACCACAAATTCTACTTGTAACACATGCTACAAAAAATACCTTTGTGTATAGCAAGCAAAGATGGTCACTAAATTTGTCATTCAACATACTCCTACATATGTGACAGTCTGGTAGAACAGAACTGCCAATAAGCTGAACCAGAATAACGCTATATGCAAGAGCAGTTTGGAGAGAGCCTAGATGAGATATCTGTGTTTAGAAATGTTAGTTTAAAATACCTGAAAGATGTCCTAGTGGGATCCTTAGTAAGCAGCTGAATATGGGCATTCAGAGATGTGGGGACAGATCCAAACTGAGAATATAAATTTGGAAGTCATCTGCCTACAGATGATATTTAAAGCAATGAATTTAGATGAAAGCATCAAGAGCATGAGCACAGACAAAAAAGAGAATAGGGCCAATGATTAAGCCCTGAAATATTACAAAAATAAGAGATCAGAAAGAAGAGATAGAACAAGCAAAAGACACTGAAGAGAAGCAATGAGTCCAAGTAATATCCTAAAGGCAAAGTGAGAAAAAAAAAAAATGTTTCAAGACGAAAGAAGTTATCAACTATGTTAGTCAGAATTTAAGAACTGTCACTGTGGGGGCGCCTGGGTGGCTCAGTCGTTTAAGTGTCCGACTTCGGCTCAGGTCATGATCTCACAGTTCCTGAGTTCGAGCCCTGTGTCAGGCTGTGTGCTCACAGCTCGGAGCCTGGAGCCTGCTTCAGATTCTGTGTCTCCTTCTTTCTCTGCCCCTCCCCTACTTGTGCTGTGTCTCTATCAAAAATAAATAAATGTAAAAAAAAAAGTTTTTTAAGAAAAAAAAAGAACTGTCATTGTGTATTAAAGTAAGTCACTGGTCATCTTGACAAGATCATTTATTATGGAGTGGTGGAAACAAAATAATGTTGGAGGTTAATGAAGAAAAAAGAGGATAACCTGACATAACAAATACAGATAATTCGGGTACTTTGGCTAAAAGGACATTAGAAAAATAGAGCAGTAGCGAGAGTAGAATGTGAATCAGGAGTCACAACAGCTGATTTGTAAGCAATTGGAATAATCTAATTAGAAGAGCCCAGTGGTAAATTTTTTAAAAATGATATTTTGAGAGAGAGAAAGAGAGACAGAAAGAAGAGAGAGAGAGAGAAGGAGATGGGGGAGGGGGGATGGTGAGCAGATAGAGTGGGAGACAGAATCCCAAACAAACTCTGCATTGTCAGCTCAGAGACTGATATGGGGCTTCATCTCCCAAACCATGAGATCATGACCTGAGCTGAAATCAAGAGACAGACACTTAATTGAGTGAGCCACTCAGGCAGCTTCTTTTTAAGAGCCCACTGGTAAATTTTTATAAAGAGATTTGGGCAACAATTCATAGATTGTCATAGCAAGATCTCCCACCAATAAAGAAACTGCTCATGAGGAGGAAAAGAAAAGAAAACAAAACAGACCTTGGGTGCAATGGTATAACTAGCCAAATAAAACACACATAGGGTATTTTTCAAAAATATAGATTATTATAACTTCTTTCAAGAGATTCTTATTTTGGAGATTAGATATAAAACTTAAGATTCTTTATTTTAAAGTGCAGATGTACTTCTTTTTCTCCATCATTCTCAACAATTATAAATACATGCTCAATCTTATTTCATCTATGCTCAAACCACCATCTTTTCTCCCTCTCCATTCTCTGCTATTATTTTGACAAACTCTTAGCTTGGATTACTGTAAAGACTGAAAAGTGAAGTCACTATAAAAGTTTTTAAAAATACAGTACATTATATTTTCCTATTGATTTGAAGAGATCACACAATATATCTAACTAGATTTGACAGAAATTTCAATGTTGGACTAATCTTTCTAAATGAGTTCAAAAGTTAAAATGTAGAACAAAGGCTCCTCAGGCATGCCCACAGCTATTAATTGACACTTAGTGGTTGTATAAGATCATTTTAGTTTAGGGGCGCCTGGGTGACGCAGTCGGTTAACCGTCCGACTTCAGCCAGGTCACGATCTCGTGGTCCGTGAGTTCGAGCCCCGCGTCAGGCTCTGGGCTGATGGCTCAGAGCCTGGAGCCTGTTTCCGATTCTGTGTCTCCCTCTCTTTCTGCCCCTCTCCCGTTCATGCTCTGTCTCTCTCTGTCCCAAAAATAAATAAACGTTGAAAAAAAAATTTAAGATCATTTTAGTTTAATCATGGCTATCACAGTTGTTTGCTAATTTATATTTGGTATACCTGTCCTTAGTTCTGAGGCAATTTTATAAAGGACACTATTAACTCATTATGGGTAAGTACATGAATAGTAAACAATGAAAATAGTGATAGGAAAGAAAAAAAAAAAGAAAGGTAAGAAACTTATTCAATGAAAAAAGTATAAATGCTATTAAGAACATTTTATCCTGAAGGAAAAATCAATAACTGAAAGTATAAAATGTGCTATGCCTACAACATACAGCAGGAAATGAAAAAGGAGTCTGATCAAATAGCTAAGTTTCACTTATGGCTATAAGACCAACATCAATGTCTGAACTTTACTGGCCTGATTCTAATCTAGTAGAAATCTGAGTTTCTTCAATATCAGCACTACTAATCCAATTTTCATATCAAATGATGGTTAGCCTAAACATGTTTTTAAAAAATCTTACATACATAATAGTAGTAGATATACAAATAGAAGTTACTAAAGAGGTCCACATTTGCAAAAATTTCCATTTTTACATTTCTACATATTACTTACATAATGAAATAGATCCTTATAGTCTGGAAACTGTATACATCCATGTAACCAACAGCAATGAAGATGTAAAATCAAATACTATGGTGAAAAAAAAAGGGGCAAGAGTGGGTATCTTTGTTTCATTCCTAATCTTAGAAGAAAGATTTTCAGCTTTTCACGGAGTAGAATGTCAGCTGTGGACTTGTCATATGTGGCCTTTATTATATTGATGTATGTTCCTTTTATACTCACTTTGTTGAGATTTTTTACCATAACTGGATGTTGAATTTTTGTCAAATGTTTTTTCCAAATTTACTAAGATGATCATTATGATTTTTACCCTTCATTTTGTTAATATAATACATCACATGGACTGATTTTTATGGACGTTGACCCATCTTTACTTCCCTAGAATAAACCTCACTTGATCATAGTGTATGATCCTTTTAATGTATTGTTCAATTCAGTTTACTAATATTTTCTCGAGGATGTTTACATCTATGTTCATCAGGTATATAGCCCTGTGATTTTCTTTTCTTTTGGCATCTTTCTCTGATTTTGGTATAAAGGCAATGAAAGCCTCATAAAGTAAGTCTCTAAGACTTCCCTCCCCTTATATTCTCTGGAAGAGTTTGAAAAGGATAGGTATTAATGTTTCTTTGAATATTTGATAGAATTCACCAGTGAAGCTATCTAGTCCTAGCAACAGCAATCAGGCAAGAACAAGAAATAAAAGGCATCCAAACTGGAAAGCAAAAAGTAAAAATGTCACTATTTGCAAATGACATAATAGTATATACAAAAACCCTAGGGGCCTCTGGGTGGCTCAGTCGGTTGAGCGTCCGACTTCAGCTCAGGTCACGATCTCGCGGTCCGCGAGTTCGAGCCCCGCGTCAGGCTCTGGGCTGATGGCTCAGAGCCTGGAGCCTGCTTCCGATTCTGTGTCTCCCTCTCTCTCTGCCCCTCCCCCATTCATGCTGTGTCTCTCTCTGTCTAAAAATAAATAAATGTTAAAAAAAAAATTAAAAAAAAAAAACCCTAAAGACTTCATCAAAAAACTATTAAACCTAATTAAGTGAATTCAGTAAAGTTGCAGGATACAAAAATCAGTTGAATTTCTAATAACAAATTTTCAGAAAAAAAAAAAGACAACAATCCCATTTACAATTGTATCTAAGAATAAAATACCTAGGAATAAAGTTAATGAAGGTGAAAGATCTGAATATTGAAAATTCTAAAACATTAATGAAAGAAATTAAAGACACAAATAAATGAAAAGCTATTCCATACTCATAAACTAGAAGAATCAGTAGGAGTACAATGTCCATACTATCCAAAGCAATCTAAAGATTCTTTTCTTTTTTTTTTAATGTTTATTTATTTTTGAGACAGAGAGAGACAGAGCATGAACAGGGGAGGGTCAGAGAGAGGGAGACATAGAATCCGAAGCAGGCTCCAGGCTCCGAGCTGTCAGCACAGAGCCCGACGCGGGGCTCGAACTCACGGACCGTGAGATCATGACCTGAGCCAAAGTCGGATGCTCAACTGACTGAGCCACCCAGGCGCCCCAGCAATCTAAAGATTCTATGCAATCTCTATCAAAATCCCAATGGCATTTTTCAAAAAAATTAGAATAATCCTAAAATTTGTACGATACCACACAAAACAAGAAAACAAACTCCAAAGAGCCAAAGTAATTTTGTGAAAGAACAAAGCTAGCAGCATCATACTTGTGATTTCAAAGTATATTACAAAGCTATAGAGCTACAGTTATTAAAACAACATGATAATGCCATAAAAAACAGAGAGACCAATGGAACAGAACACTCAAAAATATATCCATTCATACACAGTCAATTAATTTACAACAAAGGAGCCAAGAATATACAGTCCCTTCGATAAATGAGAGTGGGGACAAAACTGGACAGTCACATGCAAACGAATGAAACTTGACCACTATCTTAACATTGTACATAAAAATTAACTCAAACTGGATTAAAGACTTAAACATAAGACCTAAAACCATAAAACTCCTACAAGAAAACACGGGTAGGTAAGCTTCTTGACTTGGTGATGATTTTTTTAATCTGACACCAAAATCAACAAAAGCAAACATAAGTAGGACTACATCATACTAAAAAGTCTCTAGCACAGCAAAAGAAACCATCAACAGAATGAAAAGGTAACCTATAGAAGAGAAGAAAACATATGCAAGCCATATATCTGGTAAGAGGCTAGTATTCAAAATATAGAACTTCTATACCTTAATGACAAAACAAAAATCCAATTAAAAATGGGCAGAAGAGCTGAACAAATGCTTTTCAAAAAAAAACCATACAGATGGCCAACAAATACAGGAAAAGATGTTCAACATCACTAATCATCAGAGAAACTATTTGTACATCATAAGATTATCACCTCTCACCTTTTAGAATGGATATTATCAAAAAGACAAGAAATAACAAGTACTGGTAAGGATTTGGAGAAAAGGGAACTCTTCTGTACTTCTAATGAGAATGTAAACTGGCACAGCTACTATAGAAAACAGTATGAAGTTCCCTCAAAAAAAAAAAAAAAAAAGTGATCCAGTCATATGATCCAGCAATTCCATGTGCGGGTATTTATCTGAAGAAAACAAAAACACTAACTCATAAAGATTTATTCACACCCATGTTCACTGCAGCACATGCAGGCGCACATACATGCATATTACTCAGCCATAAAAAAGAAGTGAGATCTTGCCAACTTGCAATAACTTGGATGGATGGACCTTGAGGACATTAGGCTAAGTTAAATAAGTCAGACAGAGAAAAACAAATACCATTTGATCTCTCTTATATGTGGAATCTAAAACCAAATAAAAACAAACAAAAAACCTCCTATATGTAGAAAACAGATTGGTGGTTGCCAGAGGTGGGGGAGGGGGTTGGGAGAAATCGGTAAAGGGGGTCAAAAAGTTAACTATATACATACATACATACATACATAAAATCCTTCTATCGCCTCAGCTGGTTCCCATCAACACCCTAGGCAAGTCAACCTGTCCTGAATAAGACTGCCTTAACATTTGTGTACAAGTATTATAAGAATGTAGCCTTTGGTTCTCATGGATAAATACACTGAAGCAAAATTGCTGGGTCATAGTCTTTATTTAATTATACGTACTTTTTTTTAAGTTGTTTTACAAAAAAGTGGTTTTATCATTTAACACTCCCTGAGTTTTGGTTACATTTTCAACAACACTTGATACTATGTCTTTCTTAATTTTAACCTATGTAGTCGGGTGCATAGCCGTATCTCATTGTATTTTTGTTTTGCCCTTCTCTAATTACAAATAGCATAGCAGAGCCTCATATATACTTAGACCTTATTTAGATCGTAAGACACTGGAATGCAAACCCTGACAACCTCATGTGATAAAACTTTTGGAGAAGAGAGTGATCAAATTTTGCATATGGGAGGAAAGTAAATTATTGTGCACTGTGCTGGAAAACAACTCCCCTTGAACATCTCACATTTCTGCATGGTCTGGGTTCTTTGAGCAATGTCATTTACAGCCAATTAAATATGCTTGTATAAAGAAACATTCTAAGATAATAATGCTTAGCAACATTAAGACAGTCCAATTTCCTCTCTTGAGATTTGCTTAAATTCCAGATTAAAGATAAGGTTTTTGTCTCTTACTTTCAGAGGAAAGGACCAGACTCATCATCAGTGGTACTATGTAAAATCAGAGTTTCCCAATTTGGGCTTCCTCTCCTGCAATGCACAGTACTGCTCCTACAGGAATCATCTGACCCTCACTGTGTAGGCATGTGAAGATTAAAGCTCAGGAAATTGACACAAGATATGCCCTGGTCCCTGCATTTGTAGTGAGTAATAAACTATTTGTCTCTGATCTAGAGGTCTTGTGTCTTCTGATAGGTTACCATACTAGCTTGTAAACAAGGTAAAATCTAGACCCTTCACTGTTTTCTTACTTAACCACATAAGTTAAGAAACATGGCCACAGTGTTCTATACCACCCAAGATCAAAGACTGAGTCCATTTCCCCATTCCTTGAATTCAGACTGACCTTGTGACTTGCTTATATGGCAGTTTGTTAGGCAAATAACAGTACCTATGCCTCAGGAAGATTTAAAACTTCTACTTTTACCTTCTTTGAATGTTGCCCTGAGAACATGATGTTATAAAGCAGCATGGGATAAAAGACCACAATGCTGATTCACAAATTCAAGAGAACATAAATGGCTGATTTTTTAAGCCATCAATCTTCATCAGTTTATCAACTATATTGGTTTTTTTCAAAGAGGAAACTTTACACTTTGTTCATTTTCTTTTTTTAAATTTTCCAATGTTTATCTTTGAGAGAGAGAAACAGAGCATGAGTGGGGGAAGGGCAGAGAGAGAGGTTAGACACAGAATCCAAAGCAGGCTCCAGGCTCTGAGCTGTCAGCAGAGCCGGATGCTGGGCTCAAACCCACAAACTGAGAGATCATGACCTGAACCAAAGTCGGACGCTCAACTGACTGAGCCACCCAAGCGCCCCAGCACTTTGTTCATTTTCTTAAGGTAAGTTTTCTATTTCACGCATTTCATTTTTTTCTGTTTTCTGCCTTTTATTCATTTTGAATTTGTCTCTTTTTTCTGTCTCTTCAGGTAAAGATTAAATAAATGATTCTAATACTTTTTTCTTAAAGATTTAAAGATACAAATTCTCTTGAGCTGTACTTCATAAATTTTGATGCTTGGTTAATTTAAAATGCTTCTGATTTTTCCATTTATTATTTTATCCATGGGTTATTCAGAATCATCTTAATTCAATATGTGGAGATCTACTAAACCTTATTTTGTTTCTGATTTCAAATTTAATTCCATTATAGTCAGAGAACCTAGGGTTTCTAATCTTTGCAGTATTCTGAAGCTTTCAGACAACCCCACAAAAAAATCTATCTTGGTGAGTGTTTCATGTGTGCCTGAAAGTCACATTCTGCATCTCTTGGGTATAATGCTTTATAAATGTTGATTAGGTTAAATTGGTTGATAGTGGTGTTCAAATCTTCTATACCCTTACCAATTTGTGGCATTCTTTTCCTACTAAATATTGAAAGTACTAAAATCTCTATCAATGTAAATAAGTCTATTTCTCCTTTTATTACTGTCAATTTTTATCTCATGTATTTTGAAGCCGTTATATAGAGTGAATACACATTTAGGGTTCTATCTTCTTGATAAATGGGTCCTTTTATCATTGAAAGATGTTCTTTTTCTCTGCTAACAAACCTTGCCTTGAAATATATTTTGCTTGGTATAACTATAGCCATAGGAGTTTTCTTTTGGTAAATATTAATGTGGTTTATCTTTTCCCATCTATTACTTTTAACCAAGTTTGTCTTTATATTTAAAGTGTCCACTTATATGAAGCATACAGCTAGGTCTTACTATTTTATCCAATCTGACAATTTTTATGATTTGATGGCAGGCTTAGACAATTTATACTTAATATAATTACTGATATGTCTTAATTTAAGATTATTTCTATTTTCTATTTGTTCTTTGTTCCTCTTTTTTCCGGAGTTCAAATAATGCTATTGTCCCCTATTCTATCTCATTTTATGGCCTTTTTGTTGTACTTTTTTCTGGTTCCTCTAGGAATATACAGAGTGCACTCTTAATTCCAATAGTCCATATTCAAATGTTATGCCACTTCACATATGATCTAAGAATATAAGAAATTTATACTTATTTATTTTCTTCCATATTTTAAGCTACTGCCATACATTTTACTTCTACATATTATAAATCTTATAATATTCTTTGCTTTACACTATCAACTGTTATTTATATAAACTTAAAAACTAGAAAACAGAATTTCATATTTATTCACACACCAATTCCTTCAGTCTGTTTCTTACTACAAATTTGCTGGTAAGCCTTTTTAAGCAGGTTTTTTCTAAGATACTGCATTTTCAGTTCTTAGAATGTGCATTTGGCTCTTTGTCAGGTTGTCCATTACTCTCCTGAAATACCCAATCCCTCATATCCTGTAAATTGCCTTAAAATCCTTGTCTCTTAATTCTAATAACTGGGTCATCTGTAAGTTTGCTTTTGTTAACTATTTTCTCTTAATTATACAATCACATTTTCCTGTTTCTTTGTATGTTTCATAATTTTTCATAGTATCCTACATGCTGTAAGACTAAAGTTGAGAATTAAGCACAATACTTTCTTGTTAAGTTTTCCTGTTTTCCCAGAGAGTCTACAATCTTCTCTCCGGACAGATGACTGATAATTCATTTTACTAGTAGAAATCAATTTGAGCTGAAACTGGCTGCAACTTTATTTAGATTGAATTCATCTGTGATCAGTTCAACTTACAACTTCTCTATCCCAAACACAGCCAAATTTTTTATCTTGTCAATCTGTGGTATAAAGAATTTGGGATGCAGTTCCAGGTATTTTTTCATTTAGTTTACCTTTAGATTCAAATCCAGCAAAGTCCCACAACTCAAGAGTTCCACAACTCAAAGTCCCACAAGTCAATATCCTCATTGAATTTTCAGGACTATACCTTTCTCTAAGCTGTTCAACCCCTCCTTTACTGCTGCTTCAAGACAAAATTCAAGGCAGATAGAATTTATCAGCCTTAATGATTTATTTTGCTTTTGGGGCTCCATCAGATTCTTATCCCTTCTCCAAAGTCCACATGGTCATTCAAAAATTGATGAGTTATCCTCATTCTTTCAGTCTTTCCATTTATGGCATGACCTATACTGATACCAGGCACATGTAGCCAGGCAGGGAAGTTGGTGTACTCTTGATTCACCTAGGAGAGGTTCAATATCTCTGGAATTCAGTTCACTAAGGATTCCTTAATTCCACTGATGTCTGCTACCCTATTTTTTTAAAAGCATGATTCCTTTCTTTTCAGGCTTTTCTTATTCTTACCACGGAACCAAAGGTTTTCTTGTCCCCTGATAGCCTAATGAGAAGCAGAAATATCAGGGCATTTCCAGGGTAGATGAAACTGTTTTATTTATAGAAAAAAAGAGTCCCAAGGAAGATATCCAGCCTGACTCACTCCTTTGTCAAGGAAACTTGGTCATGGTAGAAGAAAAATCTTCAGAATTCTCCTCCATCTCAATTTAGGAAAAATAACATTAATTTATGGAAGAAGAGGGACTAGTTATTTTTACCAAAAAAAAAAGTCTTTTGTTCCACAATTAGAAATAATACTACAATGCCAATACCTCAATAGAATTGGTTTACTTAACTCTGAAAGGCTAACATTACATCATTCTATGATCAGAAAGAGTAAGCACAGGAAGAAAGAGGAAGGAACGCAGCTCAATATGGCTCATAATCAAACTCTGGGAAAATGAAATTGTGCAGAAAAAGAATATTGGAGGTCTTTGAGTTAATTTCCATTGTTTCTGACATTAGAGTGGTTTCTGTAATTTTCAATAGGTCAATAAAAGCTGTACAAAAAAAGACACTTGGGGAAAAATGTATCAAAAATGTATATTCACAATGTTTATTGTGGTAGGTAAAGTAAATCTTGACCTTATTCTGAACCTAGAAATAGCTTTCTCATTACAGTCCTGATTGGATCTTCAACTCTTCCCCATAACACAGTCTTGTGGGTGGATTAACTTCCTTGTGTGTATTCCCTTATTTCTTTTTACTTCCCAGTATTCATCTCCACACAAAACTAACACCAGATCTCCTTAGTTTCTGCTAATTACTGCTAATAACAACTTCTTTTCCTCCTTGAACTCATTAAGCATCATCTGGCAAGCCCTGCTGGGAAATGAACAAAACAGTCAAATAAACGAAAGAGAATTCTACTTCTCTAAAGTATTCTAAAGGAATAATTGCTTTTGACCATGTGCAGCAATATGCTATACCAAGTAGGTGCAATTCTCCTCCCATCTTAAAAAAAACTCTCCCTCAAGATACTTCTCCAGCTACCAACCTATGAGAGGGAGAAAGAGAGCATCCGGAATCCAGGGGCCACTGGGGGGTCAATTAGGGGCTCAAACTCACAAACCATGAGATCATGACCTGAGCTAAAGTTAGACACCTAACTAACTGGGCTATCTAGGCGCCCCTTCATCATTTGTTCTCAAACCCACGCCAATCACAGTTTTGTCCCCATCACTTCAATGGAAACTATTCTTCCTAGTTCATCAATGGCCTACATGTTGCCAAAATTCAATATAATTCTAAGTTCACATCTCACTTGACTCATTTCATTAGCAGCACCATTCCCCACTATTTTACACATTTTCTTAGTTTCCAAGATATCACATGCCCTAAATTTTGTTCCTAGACTAGTTATGCCTCAGTCTCCTTTGCTAGTGCTCCTCTTTCTGCCAACCACTTAACACATTGTAGTGGCAGAAAACACAGATTGTGGCCCTCTTCCCCATAACCATAGCCTTGAGGATCATCCATTTTCTTTTTTTTTTTTTTTCAACGTTTATTTATTTTTGGGACAGGGAGAGACAGAGCATGAACGGGGGAGGGGCAGAGAGAGAGGGAGACACAGAATCGGAAACAGGCTCCAGGCTCTGAGCCATCAGCCCAGAGCCCGACGCGGGGCTCGAACTCACGGACCGCGAGATCGTGACCTGGCTGAAGTCGGACGCTTGACCGACTGCGCCACCCAGGCGCCCCAGGATCATCCATTTTCAAGTCTTGAAATTGTATCAACTCTTTAAATGCTAAGTACCTGAATGATACCTGTCCTAGTTTGGTTTCTCCCAAAAGCAAAGGTTTAGATAAGGACTTAAGTACAGGTAGTCTGTCCAGGTAATGACCTGAGGGAGCAGGAAGAGTAAAGCAGAGACGGAGGAAAAGCCAATATAAGGGATGGTATATTGTCAAAGTCATTCCAAAGGACGACAGGGGGTCCATTCTACTTAAACTTCTTGAGAAACACACAGGCAATCTCTCAGAATTGTCTGCCTATAGGATGAAAGACAAGCTGTTATCCAATTACTCCTGTTTCCCAATGATTAAGGGTTGCCTCTCTGGACATTAACTTTCACTGGCTACCAGCCCATACTTGCTTTCTGGTTCAGCTGGCCTTCCAAAGCAGAGAAATCACAGGGGCTTACTTTCACTGGGAAGGGCATCTGAAGGCAACTTTTAGGGTACTGTTTCTTGCACCTACAGTTAAAACAAGAGGTGAACCAAGAAGATGTGATGCTGGACACCAGAAGAGTCTAACACTGCAGACAGACCACCCACATCCACCCCAGGCTTGCATATCCAACTCCCTGTTACAGGTCTCCATTTAGTGGAGGAAAATAAAGAAAAAAGAATTAATCATTTAGAAAAGAGTAAAAACGATGAACGAATCCAAGAGCTGGTTCTGTTCTTGGATTGCACACATACATTCAAGTGGATTTTTTTTTTTTTTTACAAATACAGTAAAGGGCTATAAATGTATTTTCCTCTCTTCCTTATGATCTTTTTAAATTTATTTTTTAAATTTACATCCAAGTTAGAGAGCATATAGTGCAATGATTTCAGGAGTAGATTCCTTAATGCCCCTTACCCATTTAGTCCATCTCCTC